ATCTAGTAACCATTGAGGGAACATCATTTCGTACATAACTCCAGACAACAAAGACTTGCAATTCATAACCATTCCAGATGATTGGAGAAATCGTACCATGCCACAAAACAATTTAAGGTAAGAGGTTGAAGTTGGCACACGGAGAGCCAACCAAATGCTTCCCTTGATTGACATAACAAATACTAAGTTTCGAAGATAGGCAACTAATATGTCGACACCTACCCTTACATGACATTCGTTGGCATTAGATTGGTTGCATCAAGGTACGGAGAGGCCTTGTTCCCACGCACCAATGCTTCCGCTTTCTCACTGATGATGCTAGGGAACCAAAACTTAAGGGAAACAAGACCTACTAGAACTAGAAAACCAAAAGGGGCGGGTACCCACTCCTTATGCCACCGGTGAACCCATCAGAAGGGGATGAGGAAGATGGCCAAGTTGTTCGTAAGGATACTTCCGTGGCGGTTATGGTTGGCAAAGGGGTTATTTTCCAGATTGGATTGAATTTAAAGGTTATAGTAATTGGGAGTCCGATTTTGCGTTTTCTCTTGAGTTTTTGAAAATAATGAAAGAGCTCTTTAAAACCTGTATAATGATCTAAGACCATGAGCTTGTCGCGTGTGCACCAGGAGTTGAGATGGTGTCAGTCAGATTTATGGGTTTGGTTTAGGCATGAACTTTATGGGCCTCGTTAGGTAAGATTGTCCTAAAAGGGGCCGCACTTAATCAATTCTCCATCCATCTCAAAATGTAAGGTGTATTAGTTTTTTCAAAATTCAAACGTGTGCATGTTTGATCAAGTTTTTAAAAAAAGTATTAGTATCTATTATCACTATATCACTAGATCCATCATGAAAAGTAATTTTTTTTGTATCGCAGATGTTGATATTTTATTCAATAATCTTGGTCAAACATACATATTTTCTACTTTCACGAAAATTCATGCATCCTGTATTCTGGGAAAGAGGGAGTGTATGTGAACTCTGCTAGTGGATTTGTTCGACTTGTGGATGGATGGTTGTATTTCTGTAAAACGATGTGACAAAGCACTCAAATCAATATAATACTCTAAAATGATAGAAAATACCCCTACAAAAGATGTCAAAGCTTTCACCACAAGTACCATTGCTGGCGCTCAAATTGATACACGGTTGTCAAGTGCTCCAGAATAACCCACTCGACCCATACACCCTAGCCGAGAGACAAACACTTCACATGCCATCCACCGACACTAGAGTGAGACAGAGCAGGAAAATGTCCTAATTCCTAAGCAAGGGCAATGCCACATCCTCATTGCTCGGATCCGACGGTCACCCTCCAACCGTATATGGACTAGGGTTCGTCGTGCCTCCAAGGTCATAGGTCCACTAGAGGAGGGGCGTACCTGTATTGACGTTGGCAAGAGAGAATAACCTCTTGATCGCCCTCTTTTTGCTTGTCTCTACATAAGATGTACTTCATTCCACTTTGCAACTTAATAGTATGTTCTAAAGCTTGTGCTCAGTTTTTGAGCGAACCATTTCTGTCAGTTTGTTGCTTTTAAAATATTGCATAAAAAATTAACCTAGTGGTTCTGTAAAAAAATAAAGGGTGCATTTTATTGACTCATAATGTCGCCTCAAGAGAATACAATAAAATGATCACATGACTCAGACTATGGAAAAAGTGCTTCAACAACAATGCATCCAATAAGGGAACAATGTCGCGAGGGTCGATGTAGCTAGATCCACCCACGGAGGCTAGATCATGGGTGAAGAGTACCATTGACGGGTAAAACAAAAGCAGGACATGCCAAGATTTTTTACTCCGGAGTTCGAGACCTTGTGTTAAAAAAATCACCAAACTTGAGTGTACTGCCACCTCCACTTTCACTGAGTAAGTCCATGCTGCAAGCTAGAGCATCTTGCCTCGACATCCAATGACGCTCACACATGAGCACCATTGGTGTTGCTCGAATAGACTCACGGTTGTCGACAGCTCCAAAACAACCCAGTGAATACATACACCCTAGTCGTGAGGCAAAAACTTCATATGTGATCTGCTGGCGCTAGAGTGAGACGGAGTAGAAATGACCTAATTCCAAAGCAAAGACACTGCCACCCCCTCAGTGCTCAGATCCGATGGTAGCCCCCAACCAGAGAGAGACCAGGGTCCATTGCGCCTCCAACGTCTGTAGGGCCACTAGAGGTGGTCCATACCGGTACGAACGTTGGCAAGAGAGAAGAAACTCTTGAGCGTCCTCTTTTCTCCTTTATCTACATGGCATTTACTTCATTCCACTTAGAAACTTAATTGCATGTCTAAAAACTTGCGCTAATTTATTGAGCAAATCAATTCTTTCAATTTGTAGTATCTGCAATATTGCAAGGAAAACTAACCAAGCTAACCTAGTGGTCCTTTAAAGAAAATATAATGGCCGCATTTTATTGACTCATATGCCGCCTCAAGAGAATGCA